CTCACTCATAACTGCAGTATATAGGAAATGTACTATAGCAGATTGGTTTTGAAAGTGCTATTTTTGAAGAATGCATGGGAAAGTACATTGATTAGAAGATGCTGCCATATGACCTCGATAATGTACAGTACCAGAAGATCTCGGAAGCTAAGCAAGACCAGGTAGAGAAGTTGGTTTTGAAAAGTACTTTTTTTTTTTTTTTTACTTTAGTGACTCATAACTACAGTACTATAGGAAATGTACTATAGTAGGTAAGATTGGTTTTGAAAGTGCTGGTTTTGAAGAGTGCATGGGAAAGTACATTGATTAGAAGATGCTGCCATATAATCTTGATAATGCACAATAACGGAAGGTCTCGGAGGCTAAGCAAGAACAGGTAGAGAAGTACTTTTTATTTATTTTTATTTTTTTTTTTTTACTTAAGTGACTCACTCCAGTACTATAGGAAATGTACTATAACAGGTCAGATTGGTAAGAGAACAGTTTTGAAAATGTTTTTTGAAGGGTGCAGACTTGGGTGAAGACTTTCCTATGCACCCTTTAAGTACAGTAAATTGGTTAGAAGTTAGTGCCCTACCACATCTGAATGCCAAATACTGTCAGATCTCAGAAGCTAAGCAAAACCAGGTAGAGAAATCAGATTGGAATTAGGAAAAGTACTTTTTTTTTTTTTACTGTAGTGACTCAGAACTGCAGTGCTATAGGAAATGTGTCGTGGTAAGAGAACATTTTGAAAGTGTTTTTTGAAGGGTGTGTGGGGAAATAAATAAGCTGGTTAGAAGTTACTGCCATACCACCTCAAGAATGCCAGATACTGATCCCAGAAGCTGAGCAAGACCAGGCCTGGTTGGTATATTTGTGGAAAATGTTGTGTTCTTAGGCAAGACACTTCAAGCACCTATGAATGTCCTGAGTGATAAATCATGGAGTGATTGAATAATGCAGTCCAAAGCATCATCTTTGAGTGCCCAATAAGTTCTTTATACATCTTATGCAATAAGGCTGTGCAATTAAATTACTTTCGATTTGTGTGTGAAACGATCTCCAAACTCATATAACCGAGTTGAAATGATTTAAGCTTAACAAAGATTTTATTAATTTATTTTTTTATATAAATAAGTATATTTTATTTTATTTTTTCAATATAGATTGTAGAACATCTGGATATACAGCTTATTTTGGATACATGTATGTTTTTCTATGCCTTATTTCATGTTCAAAGTATATTTTATTCCTTTTATGTTTTATACATCACAAAACTGCTCTAAGGTTCATATTTGTAGCCTACATTTATTTTCAATTTGAAAGTTTTGCATAAATTATCAATAACAAAATGCTTTTTTTGAGAGAGAAATGCTGAATGAGTGCATTGTGCAACTAAAAAATAATCGTTTGAATAATCGTAATTTCTATATTGACCAAAATAATCGTGATAATGATTTTTTCCATAATCGACCAGCCCTAATATGCATTTTAGTTTTTATTGTAGACTATTTCAATGTTTGAAAACGGGAAAAATGCAATAATGGAACAAATGCTTTGCTTCATTTTAGATGGCATTGCAATATTCTGTAGGCCAATAATATTTAATACAGACGAGGGAAGCTAAAGGTTATAGTTAAAATGCAGCTTTTTGTTGTAATAAAGTGAGCTCGTAGGTCTAAAATAGAAATAGACAGGTTTAACATTGTGAATTTTGTTGAACATTTCAGGGCAAAATGCAATTTAATCAATAGGAAAAACTGGCTCTTGCCCCCAACTGGGACTATTATTACGTTTTAGAATCTGAAAATCATCAATGACATCCTTTTTCACTCTTGAGTACTTGATGTCCATTTATGATTCACTGAAGTTGATTTTGAAACACAAATATGGTCTAATAAGTTCATCAACTTAAAAATACACACTTTTTGACGTAAATGATGACAGATTCTACACTTGGAAAACCTTTGCGCTATAAAATCTATCTAGCTCTATCTGTAAACTTTGATAATGTATCTTGGTTCATTACACACTTTGAAATCCATCTCTCCATCATAAAATCTGCTCTGTTCTCTCCTCTGATTGAACACATTTAATTATACATCTATCCACACCTTCACTGACCAAAACCTCTCATTTCCCAAACACAGTAGCTCCCCTTTTGTCGCCTGCCCATGCATAACTTTGTTCCATCGATCGTCTGTGTTCCGAAACAAAGCTCGGGGAAGATGAAAAGCTTCACGACCCCTCTTGTGCTTCTGGGCTTGGCTAAATAGCAGGGGACTTTATTGACCACAATGCAGCAGTCACTTACCCTGCGCTGCGCATTGACATCTCCACTGTCAGACCAGCCAGGTAACCCCCAGGACAAAGCTCGTGCGTCAACACAACCATGACGACTATAGTTAGGCTACTCCCTACATGCTACTGTGTATTGCGTGGACCCAGAAAGGCTACACACTCTGCAGCTGCTACTTGGAATCGATACACCCCAGGGTTAATAGTGAGAAAGGAACTGGCTGGGTAGCTTTACTAACAAACATGGGACTGTTAGCATAACCCTAAGTCCACCGGCTCCCCGCGGAAATCCACTGGCATTGATTAGAAACACTCCAGTAGATCACTATGGGGCAAAACATTATTGGAACAGGCTGTAGAAGAGTTAACCCTCAAACCGGAATAACCCAAGGACAACTGGATAAGGGAATGCAGGGATTAACACATGATTTAAAGGGGAGTTTGTGTAGTGTAGCAGCGGCTTAGAGATTTGTTGAAGTACAGAATATGTATTACGCTATTTTCTGATTTATGCTGTAATGTTATTTCTTCATCACAAACATGCCTCGACTTGTGTTTTGTTTCATTCATACAAGTTTAACACACAAACCCTGCGTATTTAGGCTCGGTTATTCGCTCAAACAGAAAACATTTGGATGATTTCAGCCCTGGAATTGCCAATCTCTATTTAACAAAAGGCAAAAGGTTGATGTTAACTTGAACTTACCGCCTCATGTCATCACAAGGTGGAGTAGATGATTTTGAGCTTTGATTTAGATTAATGTGTGAATGAAACAAAACAGAACTCTGGGTATGTTTTTGAGAAAGTAATGACATTATAACATGGCTTAAAGCTCACAAGAGACTGTTTTGTGTAATTAGGACCTTTAAGGAAAAGTATCTAACCCAACTGGCCCAGCTGTGGAAAAGTACAAAAGCAGCCAGTGGCTTCATTTACATGCAACTAGATAATTATGCATTATGCGTAAAACTGGATTATAGGCTTGCAATTACTGGTAACACTTCAAAATAATTGCACTATTTATTCATAATGATCAAATATTCAGGCATTGTAACTACTTTTGTGTTTAGAGTTTGGGTATTAGTCAAGTTTCTAGCTTGAATCATTCCTTATACACTTTTTTTTAAATTATGGAGTTATTTTAAAATGTTACCCTACCATTTTTATGACAGCACTTTCAGTCTTTTACATTTTGTTTTCAATATTTGTCTCTGAAATATTAGTTTGCTGTATTTTTTTTTAAGAAATACACAGATGTGGAGGATATTCTAGCTGCTAAATTGAAATCAGAAAAGATTTAGATTTTTTTATGTGCATAGCAATAATGTTCAGTGCATATCTATTTATTGGTCCAGTTTAGTTTCCATGTGAAGTCCCAGTTTGGATGTGGTGTATTTGAAAGTGTGAGAATGCACCCTTTAGTGTTTTGTCCAAAGTAGATTTAAAATTTGTCATTGCACGCACTCTCACGCAGTCCAACTGGCATGTGCTTTCTCATAGGATTTTACATCCCTTTGAAGTTTATATACCTCTGTCATTTTTCTGGGCTTAAATATAGTATAGAAAGTCTGTGGGGCACTGATTAGCACAAAAAAATAAAAAAATAAATAAAACTCCCTTCCTTGTATGGAGAGTCCCAGTGTCCCTTTGGGATTGTGTGAGAGCTGTGTACTGTAGTGGCAGTGGGCTGGAGTCACTCTGTGGGAGGAGGCTGACTCACTTTGAAGTGAACTGATTAGTGTGTCATTACAGCTCACTTATGACAAGAGCTGCTCAACAATGCTGTAAATGTATTTTGTGTAATTGATTTTAGATATACATGTCGTTTTTTTATGATATTAAAATCATATTCTTTATTTAGATGCACTAAGTAAGTTTTTTGCATCCATAGAGATGTTGCTTTATAACACAATGTGGTGTTAATCATATCTATCTCCCTGGGGACAATACCAGACACCATACTGAGGAATATTCAAGGCAAATGAAACATATTTAATGTCATACATTAACTGGAATTAACTGGAATTCTTAAACCTTTCAAGTACCACCTTAGAAAAACAAAAATAAATCTGATTATTCCTGACTAAATATGGTTTAAAACATGGGAATCCATCAAACATTTTTATTTATTTTTTGACAATAAAAATGACTGCAATTAAAGGGAGAGGATCATTATGTTATCCCATAGATAGTTGCATGCTCTTACGCTAAAGAGTCAAAGATATATATTTTTTTCATTTGTACCAAAATTACTATGCAGAATGTGTTACAGATTCAGAAAATAAAACTGAAGAACGAAGTGAGTACAGAGCAGTGGGCGTATGCCAGTAGGGTTGAAAATGGGAGTTGATCGGCAAAATGACATCTTGAAAATAAGCGATTAACCAATGCTTAAACATGCAAACATACATATATATGTAAAAAAAAAAAAAAAAAAATGCATACAAATCACTCCAAATACAACTTCGACAGAGTAAATGGTGAGGGGAAACAACTATAACATGGTTAAAAGCTCCGAAAAGTTGATTTTCCGAATAGGTTTGCTTTAACATGGAAAAAGAAACATAATTTTATACATTAATGCAGAATATTCCAGGTACAGTTTTTAGTAGACAAACAGGTCACGGACCCCTTCATCAAAAAATGTACATAGTGCACTTTTAACAGACTTGCTTTTGCTGTTGAATTCACTCTGATGTCCATATTTGTTTTGTTGCAGATGTTTATCCTGTGTGAATGGAAACTTCCCGTGTCACTGGTGCAAGTACCGGCACATGTGCACCCAGGACGCCAGCGACTGCTCCTTCCAAGAGGGCCGCGTCAACACCTCTGAGGTACACCAGCAACTTGTGATTATATAAAGTGCGGTTATATAAGACATATTCACAGATAGTTCTCATTAAATTGCTGGATACAGAATGTCACTTCACTCAGCACTGACACTGATTCACACACCACATACCGGTCCCAGAACATTGCCGAGTCTGCTCTGTTTACACTTAATCTGACATTTCTCATCATCATCTCTCTACATCATTTAAGCTGAATGGGACTGGAATGTAATCATGTAGAGAAACCAGGAAACCAAGCTCTTGTAACCAAGAAAATCAAACTCGTAACCAAGGAAATCAAACTCGTAACCAAAAAAATCAAACTCATAACCAAGGAAATCAAACTCGTAACCAAGGAAATCAAACTCATAACCAAGAAAATCAAACTCATAAGCCAGGCAACCACGCGGTGATGACATGCTGGGTCTGTTCTACATGTACCTCTGTAGTGGAATGTTCAGTAGTTACCATGGTGACTAGGGATGTAACGATATCCAAATCTCATGGTACATTAATATATTATTATGTTAGTGCGATATTTTGAAGAGGCTAATATAATTGTAGATGGGACTCTTTTTTGCTTTTAAAATGCCTTGACAAGATTTTGGTGTGAATTATTTCCATCATAATCTCAATAATTGAAAATAAATAAATAAATAAATCTCTTCATGTGTTCCCTATGCTGTTGCTACTATAAAACCTGCATTTAAGCAAAGGAACGTGTGATTCGATATATTGTGACAGCTCACGATATTATTGTGAGACTTTTGACGATAGGATATCATGATATGTTGGTTATTGTTACATCCCTACTGGTTATACAATGCACAAATAAGCAAACACAGCCAAAAAGTTTTAACACAGTCTGAAAACTCAAGAAAAAATACAAAATGGATTTAAACATCACATCTTCTGAAGCCTGTGATTGATTTGAGCAGTCATCGTCTTGTTTAGGTGTTTGATTTTCAACAAAAAGGTGACTGTAATCGATAGAGCACAAATCATCTCATCTGTTCCAACCAAGTCAGCTTTTTCTGGTCAGATTGTGTTAAAATAAAGCTCTGATTAAGTCTAACTTGAGTGACAGAGCGAACAGAGCAGTGCTTTCAGTTAGCATCACACCCCCAGGGAATATTGATGACATCGCCTGCAAAGTATGAGCTGGAATAATTGGCCCTTTTTCCCATCTGGGATAATGACATCATCACATTGTGGAATCTGAAAACCTCCAATACAACGTAGGTCTATGCGGCGACAACGTTGTGATCTTTAAGCCAGCAGTCTCGGGGGGCTAAACAGTGACAAATGCATTCACTTAGAAACAGTCTGTATGCAAATGGTGGTGGGGGCTCGGTCCTAAATGTTAGATTTGCATGAAAAGTCTCGCTGGTCTTGGTTGGAGGCTTGGATCATTTTCATTGTTTGTCCCACACAATGAGAAAACAAATGCACTTTTGTCACTGCAGAAAGTGGATTCTAACAGCGTCTCCCTAGGCTTGGGTTTACTTGTATTAAATTTTGGTATATAACTTCAATATATCTCATTTTGAAGCTTCACTGCCTTACTTTGTCAACCAGGCGTTTGGGATTTTCAACATTAACATGAAAAACTGTGAGGATCTGCACACACAATATTTACACACAAACCCAATGTAAAACTCTACTATTGTTAACGTTAAAGATTCTATATCAGGGATCTCCAACCATTTTCCTCTTGTGAGCTACCTTTACAAAACAAAAATGCCACAGAGCTACTCATTGTAAGAAAGAGGGCAAGCCTTTGGGTACAGTTAGATGCCTTAAAACATAAACCATTGTCCATTTATTAGTGCAGTTAGTAAAGTTGGGCTTCAAAATGATACATGTACATTAGTAACAGTCATGCAATTAACCAAATTAGTTATTCAGCACATGGTATAATTCCGAAATTCCTGGGTAAGTTACTTGGAAGGGGGTGGAGAGCTCCTGGTAGCTCTCGAAATACAGGTTTGAGACCCCTGTTCTATATCATGCACCAAACCATGACTGCAGCAACTGTAACTCATTTAGTAAAGCAAATGACTCAAAGATCAAGGGTTCACTTTTAGCTCTCATGCTCTTGTTGTGTTCTTGGGCAAGACATCTAACCAGCGATTAGATTAGAGGTTTCCTTTTGGTGTATTGTGGAAGCAGAAAAGAAATCTACTATTGCCATTACTACTACTTAAAGCTGGTTTAATCTGATTATTTGAAGTAGTAACACATTGTTGATATCCATACACATTATTTTTTGGACATGTATATGGCTTTAGATCAGGGGTCATCAAGCTAAGGCCTGCGGGCCAACTCCCGCGCTCCATGCCCCTTTGACCGGCCCCCACGCCCCTCTGTCCCCCACCACTTGAATGTCATGACCTATTTTTTTTATTACTTTTTGTCAAATAACAACACATCTGCATTTTGTATTTTGTTAATTTTTTCAACTTTAAAATGATATTTATATGAAGTATTTATATTTAAATAATTATATTATGTATTTACATTTGCTGCTGAATTTTCATCACCTGACAAGCTCGAGATCAAACAGTGACAGTCAATGCATGTGCAGAGTTCTGTAGTGCAGTTAAGGACAAGTTTAGGACACTAGTAAAGACCACTAAATATGTGCCAGGAATTATGTGTTGAAATAGTATTGTGGATGGCTGTGCCAAGCTAGTAATTTCTACTACACAATGAGGTCTGCTGGTGGTCATTTTGGTCTGGGTCATACAATTCTGTTATACGGCCGACCCGACCCCGGCCCTCCATCACAGTCAGGAGCGGAGCAATAATGTGGCCCCCAAAGAAAAAAGTTTGGCGACCCCTGCTCTTTTTTTTTTTTTTTTTTTTTTTAGATAGTGAAGCCCAAGCACAGCCTGTCAGAGTGCAGCTTTCAGCACTAACTTCACGGGATGATGAGAAATTTAAATAATTTATTATTATCTAAAGAGAGTGGGCAGCCTTCAAATTTTGAGGATTTTTATATATTTTTTTAAACAATATACCCAAGGTTTAATGTGAGCTGTCAGGGTAGAAGTAGGCGAGGTAGAGGTGCAGTGTTTTCCGTTTGAGAGAAGAATTCATGGTTTATGTGTTAAACATGTGAATGAAACAAAACAAAACTCCAGGTATGTTTTTGATGAGGACACAACATTACACCATAGATCAGGAAATAGCATAATACAAACCATTTAAATATAATTGCCCTATATGATGTTGCAATGTCATCTGAGACCCAGTATTACTATCACCAAATTCTTCCCAGTTCACATCGCTCCGGGCACCTCACGTGAACTGCTAAAGTGCCTCCACATTGTACAGAGGTTGCCCAGATGTCTTTGTCGGCACGCTCTCCTCCCGTGTTTACCTCTTCATTCACGTTTATGCTAATGTCCCGCGCAGATGTTAGCCGTACTAGCCTGTTTGGTGTGGAGACGGATCGGAGCTCGCTGTCACCGCCTGTCAACACGTTACACCCCTGTAAACATCCGTCCTCATCTCGTTACCAGTGCCGCACACCAGTCCACGCTTTGATTCATTTCGGTTGGCCGTGTTTCTTTTTTTTTTTTTTTTTTCTCTCTTTCTCCACACTTCCTTTGTGGCTCCAGCGTTGCCATGGTAACCTCTTCACTTTGAATGTCAGCCTGTTTACGGAGCATTTCGATTCCTCTCGTCTTTACATTGAACACAAGAGGTCGTGTTCAGAAGTCTCTAGGATTCAGATCATGATTTGACGTGGAATGATTGTACAGTTTTTGGGAAAAAAATAAATAATAATAATAATAATAAATGCATTTTATAACCTTGTAGGAATCCACAAAATCATTATAGGGTCCACAAATTTGCCATGATCATTTGGGAGTATGTTACCCCTTATAACACTTCTGAATACAAAGATATCAGAGCTCATATTATGCAAAATTGACTTTTTGCTGAACATTGTTACATCATTATAAACATACCCTGAGTTTGAGAAAAGCTACATTATTAGTCCAAGTTCAAAATGCGATGTCTTAATTTGAAATGCTTTACTGTACAATAAACTAGAATAACATTAAATTGTTACCTTAAAATCGACTTTTGTTTTACCCTTTGTTCAGATGAGATTGACTTGAAGTGGGTATCTTCTCGTACACAAAGACGTGAAGAAGTTTCAACAAGGTTAGTTTCAACAATAGCTTCAAAGTTTGGCAAACAAAACAAAACAAAAACAAAAGATTCTACTGAAAGTGTATGAAGTTTAAAACACTTGATGATGAGTGTTTTCAGTTTGAACGAAGAGTAAAGTCTAATAAATTTGGAGTATTTGTGTGTTAAATATCGAAATAACATGGATATAAATAAGAAGAAATAGCATAATATAAATCCTTTAACCACAAAGCAGCTCAAAACATCAGTAAATTGACACTGATAGCTGAATTCTACAATAGAATCCTTATCTCACGTTCACTTAAATGTTAAACTATTCATGGGCCCAGCTCATGCATGCTGCCATTTTAAGGACTATTCATGCTGCAAAACCCATAATATTTGATTTTGAATTGCTAATTGCTATGGTAATGATCAAAGTTGTAATGTCATACTAATATATCAATGAAGTACATATTATAATATATTATGGAGTATTAGAGACTGGAGACAGGTTTAAGAGTCTCCTGTCTACACTGTTGTTTGGGCTTTGGTAATGCGTCTTTCTCATCACGCTTTTATCTGCCCCAGCCCTTGATTTTGTTCCAATTTGCCAGTTCGAAGCCCCCGCTGAAAGCAATATTGCCCATCTCCGCTGCTTGGAAAAGTTCCCCCCTGTGTCATTAGTAGTCGGTTGCCAAAGTGATTGAATTCACACTACACTGGTTATCTTCCCAAAGGCATTTGTCATATTTTCTGGAGCTGACTTCACTTCATATCTGATCATATTCTCGGAGCTGGTGTGAATCCAAAACAAACTTCACAACTCAGAGGTGTAAACAGAGCCGGTGACCATC